TTATATCCGAAGAACATTTAAATTTATATGGATTGTTGCATGGTGGTTTTACATCTACTCTTATTGATGCTGTCTCTACATATGCTTTAATAACCCATGAAAAAAATAACAAACCAGGTGTTTCATTAAATTTAGATATTACGTAAATATAACTTTTTATATATTTTTTATACATCTTATATATAAAAAATAATATATTAAATCTTTTATATATAAGAAATATATATATATTAATTAATTATATAACATAAATATAATAATATATATAGATTTATGAAACCTGCTCTTTTTGGAGAACTAATAACAATTAATGCAAGAACTATACGTGTTGGAAAAACAGTAGGTTTTGTTTCAATAGATATTACAAAAAATGAAGGGAAAGATATAATTGTTAATGGAACTCACATAAAATTTATTGGAAAGTAAAATAAATAAAATAATGCATATATTATTATATATTGTTAATATTTAATGAACACTTTATATATGTATATAGATAGTACAATAGTATATTATAAAATTTAAATATATTCTAGTACTGTCTTAATGTGTATATATTATTTGTTATTACATAAATGAATACAACTTTTTTATTGAACATTGCATCACAATATCCTTCAAATATTAATTTATTCTTTTTTATAGATATTTTTATTTAACAATCTTTAAAAATTTAGATATTCTTAAAAAATAAAATATTAATAATTATTTTCTACAATACTTTTAGAAATTTTATAAAAGTTAACACGTATATAATATAAGATAACACATGGCACAAAATCATAAAAATATAATTGTTCAATTATATTCATATTAGTAATTAATATAAAAATGTATATATTAAATTATAATTGTATTTGTGATTTGTTTTTATTTAAAATTTGTGATAAACACAAAACTTATTAATACAAGTTACTTTTTATATCACTAACATATAATGAGTATGATATTTATTTATTATCTATATAAAAGAGAAAGGAATAAAGTGATATGCATAAACTCTTGCATTGTTCACAAGGAAAAATATTACTGCATAAAATATGATTAAAATATTTTTATCATTTCATCTAAGTCAAAACATACACACATACATACACATACACATACATACACATACACATACATACATACATATACATATATATATATATAT